GACAACATGAGGTAGCAGTGGCAGACAACATGAAACAGCAGTGGCAGACAACATGAGGTAGCAGTGGCAGACAACATGAAGCAGCAGTGGCAGACAACATGAAACAGCAGTGGCAGACAACATGAAACAGCAATTGCAGACATGAAACAGCAGTGGCAGACAACATGAAATATCAGTGGCAGACAACATGAAACAGCAGTGACAGACAACATAAAAGAGCAGTGGCAGACAACATGAAACAGCAGTGGCAGACAACATGAGGCAGCAGTGGTAGACAACATGAAGCAGCAGTGGCAGACAACATGAAACAGCAGTGGCAGACAACATGAAACAGCAGTGGCAGACAACATGAAACAGTAGTGGCAGACAACATGCAACAGCAGTGGCAGACAACAGGAAGCAGCAGTGGCAGACAACATAAAACAGCAGTGGCAGACAACATGAAGCAGCAGTGGCAGACAACATGAGGTAGTAGTGACAGACAACATGAAGCAGCAGTGGCAGACAACATGAGGTAGTAGTGGCAGACAACATGAAGCAGCAGTGGTTGACAACATGAGGTACCAGTGACAGACAACATGAAGCAGCAGTGACAGACAACATGAGGCAGCAGTGGCTGTGAGGGAAAAGTTCAACACATAGGAGTAGCAAGCGAGTATATGGTGACGATAGTTTGATTGCCCGGCTGCTTGTTAAGGTAGGGTCAGTGTATAGCTCCCGCTATTCTCCCACCTTTTTCCACCCGGAAAGGTGACGTGTGGGGCTCCTACCAAATGGTAATCACTTGACTCACAGCTCCCAACACAAGTATAAGTAAAAGCCTCTGCTCCTATTTTAGTGGATATATTGGTTAAAAGCTTCACTTTTAACCAATTTTAAGACGTAGTTCATTCTGCCATGATTTCCATGTGCTTTTAGATAATCACCATGTTTTTTAAATACCTTACTTATCATGGAGAGTGATTTCTTAGGCAGTGGGTAACCTTGTCTCTTTCTAGCTTGGAATGTCAGCTCGGGTCATCTGGTGTTGAAGGAGACGAACTTTACCTAAGTTCTGGGACGTCACCATTTTATCTGCATACCTGAGTGTAGTCAACCCCAGGCAACTACCTCTCATCTTTGCAGTGGTGGAAGACCTGCGTTCCTATCATCTTGACGAACTTTTCAAGGCTAGAGACACTGTGAAGAACTAGTCATTGGGTTGTCACTCAACACCTGAGACCCCCCCCCATCATCAACAACGGCTACAATTTCTACAACACGCGGTGTCAACAACCAGACACCCCAGTCTAACTGTATATATTAGCGTTGAATTCAGATATTATTTTTATATTTCATTTTTCATTTCTCTTTCAAGTAGGATAAAAATTCATATTTAATTGTTTTATATTTTCATTTCTAAATAATAAAGTGTTTATATTTGTCTGTTTATTATTGTTTTTCTATTCTTTAAATTTTTCCCCTGAGCATGAAAGGTATAAATACCGACAATATGAAAATTTAGACACATGTGCAACATCTGGATTAGTTGCACTTGTGTCCTTCTACTTTACAACATCTGGATATCTTTATTGTAGACGTTTCGCCATCCAATGGCTTTATCAATATAGATTCTAGGACATAAGAAGACAGTAGAACTATACACAAAAAGATGAGGTAATCAGTCCCTCAGCCTTGGAGTTAGTGTTTACAGCATGGTGATGGTGGAGAATCTGGAGCAAAGGCAAGATGACTGGCGGTTATATAGGCATCAATGGATAAGGACGTGTAGCAGACGAGGGCATAGTCACGGGTAGGCGGGATTCCCCAGTGGAAATGGGTCCTACCCAAAGGGATGGGTTAGTTGTAGCAGCCGTGAAGAAGGTCTTGTCGGTATTTTATACCTTTCTTGCACAACTTGTCACACTGCAACATCATGGAATCTTGGTTCAGAGAACATCTACAAGACCTTCTTCACGGCTGCTACAACTAACCCATCCCTTTGGGTAGGACCTACTTCCACTGGGGAATCCCCCCTACCAGTGACTATGCCCTCGTCTGCTACACGTCCTTATCCACTGACGCATATATAACCGCCAGTCTTCTTGCCTTTGCTCCAGATTCTCCTCCACCACGATGCTCTGAACACTATCTCCAAGGCTGAGGCACTGATTACCTCATCTTTTGTACATAGTTCTACTGTCTTCTAATTATGTCCTAGAATCTGTATTGATAAAGCCACTGGATGACGAAACGTCTACAATAAAGATATCCAGATGTTGCACATGTGTCTAAACTTTCAAATTTTCCTGAGGAGGAGCCAGTCCTTGTTATACTTACTGAAGTTGTTACAGGGCTGAGTAAGCCTTCACAGTGGCAGACAACATGAAGCAGCAGTGACAGACAACATATTCGCAGTGGCAGACAACATGAAGCAGCAGTGACAGACAACATAAGGTACCAGTGGCAGACAACATAAAAGCGGCCCAGTGATAGACGACATGAAGCAGCATTGACAGACAACATAAAGTCGCAGTGGCAGACAACATGAAGCAGCAGTGGCAGACATCATGAGGTAGCAGTGGCAGACAACATGAAGCAGCAGTGGCAAAGTGTAGCATTAAGAGTGTAGCAATTAAGTAAAGCATTAAGAGTGTAGCACTCATAAGTCACTCTGCCCCTACTTTTTTGGGGTTATCCCTAGGTTCTCTACACATGTAGTCAGGAGCAGGAATGGTCGCTGTGGTGGCCCTATAAACCCCAACAACAATGGCTGTTGTCACCACCACTAGCCACATACCTAATGACATGTATTTTATTCATTCTAGTATATATATCATGTTTCTATGTTGTTAGTATTGCTTATTATGTCAAATTACATGGATTGTGATAGATAAATAAGCTATAGAGTTAATATTAGGTAAATTATTATTAGGGAAATTATTTTTTCGTGCCTGGAATTCCACTGGAAAGAATTAATTCCATTTCAGTTAATTTAAATGAGGAAAACTGACTCTGCAAATGAGCAAATTCAGTTGCGAGCAAGGTCTTGGAATGGATTAAACTCGTAAGTAGAGTTTCCCACTGTATTTCCTGCCCGTCACCCTGCACACAGTTATACTAGCAGTATACTGGCATGCCACTGAGTTGGAAAGGTGCATACTATTTACATATACATACTTAGATAAACCCAGCTACTTTATGGATAGACTTTTTTACTAGCTATGACATCACAAAACCCATCACCTGTGAGCTGTAGGCCATAGAATTCTCTCGCAGTCCCTGCTTGGAGTAGACTAAACAAGGCAAGGCTCCCGGGTTTCTCTTCAAGAGTCTCTTATTTATACACCTCCAAGACATCAACATGTGTATCTCCTACTCCAGTATCTCCTACGAACCCCCACGACAAATGGTGGAAAGCGATGTAGGTGTGATTTTAACGATTACGCAGAAATTTTAAAGGGGATTGTTTCTGTCAAACAGATGGATAGTGTGTGTGATCGCATGGAGGTCCCAGAAAGATGATGCTAATCCACAGCCAAGCCAGCATTCTCCGGCTTGTCTACAGAGTTTCTTGGGTTTGTTATTCCTTATTTACTAACCTACGAGGCGTTGATCTGGGTTTTGCAAATTAAGCCAAGCCAGTTAAGCCAGTCTGTAGAGGAGAGCCTAAGCCACCCTAACAGAGTTGGGGTTAAATGTAAATAATCTCTATAGATAGATGATATAGTCTAAAAATTATTTCCACTGTTCTGCTATGGGAAACTAAATGATTATTCAATTTTTTATTGTTTTTACATTCTCTCTGAATTCTGAGAGTTAACAGTAAAAAACTTGTATGCGCCAAGTCTGCCTTTAATGTTAAACAATTTCTTCTTTGTAAATATATTTCCTGAAAGTTGACACTTGTGCAACATCTGGTTATCTTTATTGTAATCGTTTCGCCATCCAGTGGCTTTATCAATACAGATTCTTGGACATAATTAGAAAACAGAAGAACTATATACAAAAGATGAGGTAATCAGTCCCTCAGCCTTGGAGGTGGTGTTTACAGCACCATGGTTGTAGAGATTCTGAAGCACAGGTAAGGAGACTGGCGCTTATATAGGCGTCAGTGAATAGGGACGTGTAGCAGACGAGGGCATAGTCACTGGGAGGGGGCTTCCCCCCCTGGAAGTAGGTCCCCTTTCCCCAAAATTGATGGGCTAGTTGTAGAAGTCGTGACCTTCACCACGAGATCTTGTCTCAGATCGGGCCGCGGGGGCGTTGACCCCCGAAACTCTCTCCAGGGATACTTCAAGTAGGAGGTCCCTCACACCTAAGAGGTCCCTCTCACCTAGGAGGCCCCTCTCACTTAGAAGGTGCCTCTCACCTAGGAGGTCCCTCTCACCTAAGAGGTCCTTCTCACCTAGGAGGTCCCTTTCATAAACATGGAGTGTTTTAATTAATTAATAATAATATATTTATTTACTACAAGTACATGTAAAAGGTATATAGTCCTAGCTGACATTAATGATATACTACTATATAGAAAGCCCCTTGTTATGCAGAGCATTTCGGGCAAATTGAGTCAGTTTTGTCCCAGGATGCGACCCACACCAGTCGACTAATACCGAGATACCCATTTTGCTGATGGGTAAACATAGACAACCGGTGTACAGAAACACGTCCAATGTTTCAACCCCTTTGCTGGGAATCGAACCAAAACCCTAACCGTGTGAAGCGAGAGCTTTTGCCACCAGCCCACGGGGCAATAAGAAGGCCTTCTTATCAAAAAGGGCCAACGGTCAATCTGTGCTAGGACAACGCAAGTACTCTCACTAAGGAGCTTTCTCTCAGGAGGTAACATGAGAGAAATGGATGATGGTGGGTGTGTTCGGTTGTTGGTAGTGGAGATGGATGGTCAAGGGCTGAAAGGGTATGATAAAATAATGTGAGATGGGGATGGGAGGGTGGTAGGGTTGGTTATTACCCTTGACTTGGGGATGGTGAGATAGGGTGGGAGGAGGGTGAATGGTGTACGTTGGATGGAGGGAGGAGGTAAGAGACTAGAAGCAGCCGGCAACAACCACTCTCTCACCGGCGTCCACCCAGGAAGGACGACTCTTCCTGTTGCAATGTTGGCGAGTAACTCCCTGTTTGTGTGTGTGTTGACTCTGACTGCTGCTGTGAGCCATGGGTGAGTACATTATCCTGACACACACTTGTAATGCTCTTACTGTCGACCCTATTACTGTCCCATGGAGATCACATTTAATCTTAATATATATTTCATGATGATGAGTTTTTAAAGAGTTGAATATTTCTTCCTCTACGGGATTTGTCTACAGAGAAGCAATGTTGCTTATCTTTAATGTAGGTGACCAGGAAATATCTAGTTAATCAGATTTTGGACTCTACAGTCACTAGCAAAAATTTAAATTTTTAATCTAGGTAGTCGCCTGATGAAGAGAGCATCGAGGGTAATAGTGTTCTGTAAATATCTTGAAATATCAGTGTCATCTCTGATAATTATTAGTCGAAGTGTTCATGATAATGATGAAGATCTCAGACAGTTACAGATATTTGAAGGTCAGCTACTCTCTTTTTTTTTTTTTTTTTTTTTTTTTCTATATGAGGGTTTCCTTCAACCATACTGTACACATACACACACACACACACACACACACACACACACACACACACACACACACACACACACACACAACATATATATATATATATATATATATATATATATATATATATATATATATATATATATATATATATATGCAAAACAACCACTGTGAAAGAATAAAGAAATTCCAAGCGCTTTCGTGACTACTCACATTATCAAGGAACAATAAAAGTAAAGCATCAAAGGAAGGTATATAAAGGGGTAGCCCACACCTCACTATCAGATCCCACAACACCTGACGCGAGACAGCAGGCCCGCCGGCCGAATTAGACAGGTCCTTCACACAACCCACCAACAAACTATTCTACCGAAGAAATAAGAAATTTAAAAAAATATTATTTGTCCAATGTATTATTAAATTCTTCCCAAATTCTATTAGTTATAAATGGATCTAATTTATATAAACCAAAGGAAATATTCATATTATTGTCAAAACTGCTTTTTATGAAACAAGATTCAATTATATTCCTGTCGACCATGGACTTGCTTGGTACTACTTTCTCAACTTTTTGAAAATCAATTGGATGGTTAAAATCTCTTACATGAATAAGTAGAGCATTGGAATCTTGTCCAGTTATAATGCTATATTTATGTTGTTTTAATCATAGTTCGAGATTTTTACCAGTTTGACCGTAATAAACTTTATCGCAAATTTTACAAGGAATCTTATAGACATATCCATCAGCATTTTGGGGGGAATTCTTTATCAAAATTTTTTTTACTGTATCAAGATTTTTGAATACAACTTTAATATTAAAAGTCTTAAGAAGAGAAGGCATATCAACCAAGTTTTCATGGTAAGGGAGAACCAACATATTTTTAGTTGAATAAGGCTGGTTGTCCCGTTTTGGGCTGTAAAAAGTATTTCTAGCAACTTTATAAGATTTATCAACTACATTTCTTGGGTATTTCAAATCATTACCTATTTCATAAATTTTGGATATTTCCTCATCTATGAACTCTGGACTACAAATTCGTAAAGCTCTCAAAAACATTGATCTGATAGTGAGGTGTGGGCTACCCCTTTATATACCTTCCTTTGATGCTTTACTTTCATTGTTCCTTGATAATGTGAGTAGTCACGAAAGCGCTTGGAATTTCTCTATTCTTTCACAGTGGTTGTTTTGCATATTCTGAATCACCTGTTTACTGTGATCTTATATATATATATATATATATATATATATATATATATATATATATATATATATATATATATATATATATATATATATATATATGTATGTATATATATATATATATATATATATATGCAAGGAATTCGCGAGAGTAGGCGAAATATACACAAACACTGATCTCTGGCTGAAGGAGACTCGAACCTACGAACCTTGGAACAAGGTGGACTCCAAGGTATTGGTCTAGTGTGGTGAGTTTTGTATAGCACTGCGTACCTTGTTCCAAGGTTCGTAGGTTCGAGTCTCCTTCAGTCATTTATATATATATTATATATATATATATATATATATATATATAATATATATATATATATATATAATATATATATATATATATGTAAGCATGTTCCTGTTGCCGAAATGAGAACTATTAGGAGGGAACCCCCAGAGTGAGGTCCACTCACAGCTTGAAGATGAGGAGTCTCCTGTTGAAGTTTGCTGTTCTGAGCGTGTTATTATGCACCTTTTCAGCAATGGAGGTCATCCCATGTGGACTGTAATTCAGTGAGTTTCGGAATTTTACAAGACGTATCACTTATACATTTTTAATTTGCTTATTTCTTAGGAAAAATATGTTCTGATATGTATAACCTATAAGACACTAAAACATCATGGAATCTTAATTCAGAGGCCATGTCCACAGCCTTCTTCACTACTACTAACCCGTCTCTTGGGTATGACCTACTTCCACTGCGGAATCCCGCCTACAAATGACAATGCCTTCGTCTGCTACCCGACCCTTTCCACCTGACGCCAGTATATATGCGCCAGCCTTCTTGCCTGTGCGCCAGTTGTTTCACTACTATGGTGCTCTTCACACCAGCTCCAAGGCTCAGGGACTGATTAGCTCATCTTCTGTATATAGTTCTACTGTCTTCCCATTATGTCCTTGAATTTGTATTGATCAAGTCACTGGATGTCGAAATGTCTACAGTAAGGTCACTCAGATGTTGCACATATATCTGTTTTTCTTCATACGTTCTGATATATTTTTTTAACCTACCCATATAAACTTAAAATAAAGAAAACAATGTAATTTTACAAGAAGCCTTAAAAACTTAAGTAGATTAACTCATAAGGAAATTAGCCAAGAAAACTCTGGATAGATTGAAGGTTAGGTGAACGAGTCTTCAATCAACGGTGAATGAACCTCTTTTATACTGCCCACACTGGTACGACTCAAGGTGAAAATTGTAAGTGTTGTAATATTTTATGCACTGTAAATTTACTCATCAATTTTTTTTAAGATACTTGCATAAAAATTACTCGTTGGCATTTAAAGCACGTAACAATGTGTGTTCAGTGTCAGTATACGACTTTCATCTAAACATTTTATTTTAAAACGTAACTTTTCGTGTTGAAGAAGACACGTGTGCAACTCTATCATTATTGCCAAAACATTTCGTCTGCGTAGCAAGTTTTATTAAATACTGAGACGGCTTTTTATGATGAAGACAGTGGAAGTTGAGAAAGAATTTCAAAGTGCTCATTCTGGTAACCTTGATGAGCTGAAACAAGGTATTAAATTCAATATCCTTATGGAAGGTTTTCAGTCCCTTAGCTTGGCTTGGTGAAGCTAAGGCACTAAACGCTTTCTATCATGGCTGACTCAAGTCAGTTTTACAGTACACCGTAAAATTACCTCTCCCCTTCTTACACTGTCTCCAGTATAAAAGTTGTCTCTGTTCAGGCCTGCTGCACAGGCAAAACGTTTTGACAATAAACATACGCAAGTGTTGGACATGTGCCTTCTCTAGTAACTCTCCATTGTATATCATTAATGTATGATAAATTTTCATGTACTTAACATTAATTTAAAGGTAAATTGCATAGTCCGCTGGTGGACCACATGACTCGCAATAGACAGTTTTCAGGCTGAGATATATGGCTCATTGTTCAGTTTACAGTGAATAGATACTTATGAGTTAGTTGGCAGCAGCTATTTTTTGAAATCATGCTATGCATATATATAAAGGCAAGTTTTGCACGGTTCGTTAAAGTATAATGATAAAGGTGTATATGTATTTTGTACAGCAGCCGACTTGTTGTACACAACAACATACCACTTGTACACAGGAGCGGTCCAGCTGTACACGACAGTCTACCGGGTTGTAAACAGCAGCCTACTATTTGCACACGTAGTTTACTAGCGGTATGCGACATCTACCAGTTGTACACATCTACCTACCAGTTGTAATGTCAGCCTACCAGTTGTTCACGGTATCCTAACAATTGTACACGGCAACTTACTATTTGATTAGTCTTGGGGGTCATGGCTTCGCCATCTGGTATTAAGCCTCCTGGGTGACCATCTGGTATTAAGCCTCCTGGGTGACCATCTGGTATTAAGCCTCTTGGGTGACCATCTGCTTAGCCTGACTTCGCTGGCCGCACTTACTGGAAAGTAGATATCAAAGATCGGTAACTGAGGAAAATTATTTATTCTTTGAGGATTCTGTTACGTGCTCTCTTAAGGCCAATAATAGTCAACATGGTAATACATATATAATCAATGGGACAGTGATGAACAAAAATTTTGCCATAATTCTATGCCCAGAAATTGAGCGAAGATAATTTTTGGTACAATATTTCACACATGGGTTGGCTTAAAGATTTGATTGAAATTATATGAGTAGTGAAAGTTCTCTGAACATCATGTATTCAGTAGTTGTTAGTATAGTTAATAAATTGCAGTCTATAAAGTACAAGTGCCTTAAATGGTATCTACATTAGCTTGGTGTCATTTACTATAAAACTTCAGCTTACAGAGGCGATTGTTTTAACTGAAGTTGTAACAGTAACATTATTGTGTACCTTGAATTTAAGATCTTCCGACATGGCGACTTTTGGTCCATGGAAAATATCTTAGGCTTTATTGAGTTCTATGATTGTAGTTTACTTGACTTTTTTAGGCTGTATTTCTTAATTCTTTTCAAGAGCCGAGTAGCTAAAAACAAACCTTAGTGAGAGACTGTTATTTTCTGGGGCTACTGGAAGAAGTGCCTTACAAAAGCCTGGAGGATTTTTGTGTCCCAGATGAAAGCCACTAAAATAAATGCTCGTATTTTCTGAAAAGGAGGTTTCGGTGTTATAGCACTGGATAAGATTTTTTTTTATATTCATCTAGGTAGTGGTAGCGACCTAGGCAAAAATATTGGTGATCCATTATTGAAAATATGAAGTGTGTGTGTGTGTGTGTGTGTGTGTGTACTCACCTAGTTGTACTCACCTAGTTGAGGTTGCGGGGGTCGAGTCCGAGCTCCTGGCCCCGCCTCTTCACTGATCGCTACTAGGTCACTCTCC